CACTCCCCTTCTAGGCAAGATGTTACATATGATTGGGATCCCTCCCTTAGACCTGACTGATACATCTATGCTGACCTATACTTATCCAGCAGCTCCTGTCTCCTGCCATTCCCAATATCATTATCACCAGCACTAAGACAGATAATGGGCTTGTTCCCATTCCCTGACATAATATTATCCAACCTGCTGACCATGTCACCAACACCAGCTCCTGGGAGGCACACACTCTGTCTGGCCTTTCTATCTCTGTTACAAAAAGCACGGTCCATATATCTTACCTGAGAATCTCCCACAATCAGAATATTCTTACCTTGATAAGCAGGGGAGTCAGTGGTACCTTTAACCTCACTAACCACTGAAGTACACTCGTCCTGGAGAACAGAGAAGCGATTTCCTACCTTCACATCTTCTCAATTAACCCTTTCAGGGTCCACAGGCCCTCTCAGATAATTGTTCTTAGGGTCCCCCAAATTTCAAAAAAAAAAATTATTTTTTCTTATAAAAAGATAGAGAATCTTTTCCCGATCATAATGACACCAGAAGTATGAAATTTGATGGAAAACTTACAGAATTATGCTCTCGCAAAGTTAGCGGTCTCGACGATGTTTACACATCAGCGATTTTGCCCACTTTGAGCCCCAATCCCAGTGTACTAGTTGACAAAAATCATACCTATTTCGCTAGAACTTCATTTTTTTCTATCGAATGAGTACAAGAAATTACCCATTTACTGATTTCAACTATCCAATACAGTGGTCAGAATTTAGCAATTTTGTCAATTTCACACAAATTTCAAAAGATAGCAATTTCCAAATAGGGTCCAGAATAAACAAGAAAGACATTCCTGGCACTAAAATAGCATTACCTCTATTCATTAGTCACGTCCCCACGCCCCTCTTACATTCTTTTGCTTTCCATTTTGAATTTTTATTCTCACAAAAAATAGAAGATTTACTGTTATGTAGACTACTGCATTAGTGTAGAAATGGTATAAATAATATCGGCGCACTTGTGAAAGAATATTAGACTCGCCAGTTGATGTGTATTGGATGCTTAGCATGAAGTATTTACTTTTGAACTTTGGTAAAAATCGAACATTTCTGCTACTTTGAGCTCAATTTCAAGGTACTTTTCATTGTAAAACCAGTCAAAATCATCTCAATTTCTGTAATATGTCTTCCATTCTATCAAATGAGACCAGGAAAACTACAATACAACAATAAATACCATACGAAAATACAGTGCAAAGTCTGTTTTAGTCCAAAAACACGGTCAGTTTTTTTTTTCTCATTACGCACTGTGTGCTGCAGGATTTTTTTTATACTGCGCACACTGACCACATAGACCCATTCTTTCATATGTAGACCTACCAGCTTTCTCTCACTAGATTTGAAGGCGCTAGAATTTATGAGTACTAGTACATCAAGGACCCTGGCACTTAAGCCGTACTAGTACGGCCAAAACTCTGAAAGGGTTAACCTTCCTTATCATCCTTCCTCCTGAATTGTGAACCACTTGCTACTTAAACTGGCTGCCATTCTCCAAATCACTGCTGGTAACTTTTTCCTCCTCACCAGCTATAACCATCTCACACTCACTCCCAAACCCCTCTAGACAAAGCTTCAGCCTCCTATTTTCCTCCTGAAGAAGTAGAATCTCCTTCTTCAACACTTTAACCTGAGATTCTAAAAACTACAACAACCCATGGTGCTAGGTAACACCCCACGCTAATCCCAGACAGCTTAGGACTGGTATGACCACACGTGATCACTGACCTCAGTGTACTCAGCATACAAGTTAAAGAATTTAAAAAATTTTGACAGAAGGGAAAATCTGCCCACTATTTAGGCTAGACACTGACTTGCTGAATTACACACAATGGCTGCTTAGCCCTGCCATCACAATAAGGTACCCCCCCCCCCCTGCACCAGCACAGAGGAAGCAGTAAAAATAAATAAAACAAAAATGCAAGTCAAGCTGTGTATAAATAATTTCAAACTTTCACAGTTGAAGGACATCATGCTGACATTGTTTATATGTATAATATACAATACACCATTATTGCAGAGAACCATTAACTATCCCTTTAATTTCTGCAATCTTTTAATCTGCAAACTAATATACATTATTCCAGTCATAAATTCAGGTAAAAAACTCTTTCAACAAAATACATTATACGCTCCCTCCTGGCATTCAATGTCAAAATTTTTGCAAAAACTGTTGTCACATAGATGGACACATCTTACACCTCCTGCCCCCTATTCACCTAATAGTAAATAGATACCCAAGTGATAATTGACTGTTCTGGACAGTATCCTAAGGAAAGACTCCAGTGAAAAGCCAGTATTATTTAGCTTTGTTGGGTTATCCTGAGTTAATACCCTAATCTCTCAAAATTTAAAGTGAGATAATCTGGATACAAAGTGATAATTAACACTTAACTTACAATATCTTATATATGTATGCCTACAATATCTATGTTCCCTCAAAATTACAATAAAAATTTTATATATATATATTATATATATATATATATATATATATATATATTATATAATATATATATATATATATATATATATATATATATATATATATATATATATTATATATATATATATATATATATATATATATATAATATGCAAAACCATTTGTATATTGCTCTAAATAAAACCTTACTCAAACTAATAAAACTGCAGCAGGCTGAAAGCAATTCCTCATATTTTTAATACAGTACAGTGGTACCTTGACTTACGAGTTTCATTCGTTCCGTGACCGAGCTTGCAACTTAATTTGCACATATATCAAATCAATTTTCCTCATTGAAATGAATTGAAATGCCATTAATTCATTCCAGTGGAATTCCTGACTCTTGGGAGGCAGGAGAAAATACCTCAATATAACACTAATATCAACTCCATGGCTTATTTATCTATCACAGTTGATCTAATATGACATAATAAACAATGTAAATAACATAGAAACGTGATATATACTCTAGAATTAATTAAATATGTCATTATGTGACGAGTGGTGGCAGCCACTCCCGAGGTAAAAATAATTATCGCTCTGACCATATCTTCCCATTCTTGCCCTTCTGAGGTCTTATTATAAGAGAAAATGGAGTGTTTATGAGGCTAACTGCACTAGATCACTAGCTTCATAAGGAAAACACTGAAACAAAAGTGATTTTCTCGTGTTTTTCTATGATTTCATGCTTAAATTCAATGGACATCATCCACTTTTTCTCAGCACTGTGCTTTGCACTTGCTTTGCGCCAACTTGTGGTGGCATATCTGAAGCTCGCTCATAACTCGGACTTTGGCTCGCAACTCAAAGCAAAAAATCAACCGAGCAATGGCTCGTAACTCAGAAAACTTATAAGTTGGGGCACTCATAAGTCAAGGTGCCACTGTACAGCATTATACTTTTATCAAAAATCTGATCTTTGCTATTACATTTTTGGTCAAACTGTTACTTGGGTAACAGTAGTTGATGGCTTGCTTGCTTGCTCTCTCTCTGTCTCTCTCTCAAGTTTGAAGTATACAATACTAAACTAGGTTTTACAATATGCTGTTCAAATAGTAAAAAATGTAACCTAACCTAACAAACTCACCTAGCCCAACTAAAATAACCTTCCATAACTTAACCTTACTCTGCCACTGGTAGATATGTGTGTTTGTTTACATTTTGCCAGGCACAACATGACTTAACAGTAAGCAATGATTGGTTCAGACATACTGTGCAGTCAAAATAAATGTACTATTTTGATTAATATCTCCCAGAGTAACTTGCACAAAATAATTACATATTCCATGGCACACACAAGTCGTACATATTGTAAAATGAAAACTAATACCCGAGTTCTGAAGAATAGCGGTCTTAAACTACAGTCATTACCAGTACTAACACCAGCTCTGGGTAGTTTTAAATATAGGTTGGATGGATATATGAGTGTATGTGGATGGGTGAAAGATGGACCCACCTAGCATGGGCAAATAGGCCTACCGCAGTGTTCCTTCATTATGTTTTTCTTTTAAGACACCAAACATCTCCCACCAAGGTTGGTGGGAAACTGACACTACAATTCAGATGCCTGCCCCTCCAAACTGCAAATATCCCCACCCATCCTTCAGAGTGCAGGTGCTGTGCTTCCCACCTCCAGGACTTGAAGTCTGATTAACTGGGTTCCCTGAATCCTTTCATAAATGTCACCTTGCTCACACTCCAACAGCTCATCAAGTCATAAAAACCACTTGCCTCCACCCACTCTTATATAACACACTCCTGCCTGTTGGATGTCCAAGCCCCTCGCATGCAAAACCTCCTTTAGCCCCCTTCCTCCAACCTACCCCTACGCTACCCCCCAATGGAAATAAGTCACTCTGGCTTTTTTGGGTCATCCTAGATAATTTACACTACCTACCTGGAGTCTACATGGAGGGTATTTTGGGGATCAACGCCCCAGTGACCGGTCCACAACCAGGCCACTATGTATGATATTTGTAGTTGTGTGTACTTGTGTCTAAATAAACTTATATACCCCCCACCAGAGATTTATACCCTTCATGATCATCCTATTTTGCTCCATCCTCTCTTAAATGTTCAAACCACCTCAACAACCCCTCCTCAGCTCTCTGAATGTTATTATCATTAAAGTGAGATCAGTTATATATATCCTCAGTGCTTATATCAATAACTGGTTAAATCATGTCACTGATGTATTTCTATGAAGACATTTTCCAAGGATGCATTTTTTGTTTGATCTGACTGAATTAAAAAAAATCAGCTTCTGTGTCAATCAAGAGAAAGGCTTAAACTTTATGGAAATAATCTTCATAACCTAAGAATTTATTACTACAAGCTCTTATTATTTATAATGTAAAATATACAAATTACATTAAACGTGTGTGTGTGTGTGTGTGTTATGTTGGGTAGTAGTAGAGATATGTTGATGTTAGCAACATCAAGTTGCCAAGACTGAATCAGCTGTTTACCATCAGAGAAGTGGACGCTACCACCGCCTTCACTAACTTTCAACCACTGTATCTCCTCCACTCATCATCATTCACTGTCCACCAGCCGCCATTAAATGCACTCGACTGTTCTACTCACTTGTGTCACTAGATAAAACATCCCACTAGCTCATGATTAAACAGAAAGAGAGTGTAAACACACGAGACTGCGGAGAAGCGCTTCAATATGGCTGGAAACAGTGAACAAGTGAGGGTGATGGCGGGGGTGGTGAGAGGGATCAGATGCTGCTATTGTGGCTAGTGAGTGTGATGAGTGGGCTAACACTCACCCGCCGCCACTCTCACATCACCAACCTTCACCACACTTATACACCACTCAACATAGTGTTAACCAACATATGAATGTACACAGGTGAAACATCCTAACCGTTACACATCCCTAACATTAAATATTATCAACACTTTGCCCCCAAAAACGATGTTATACATGTGTATATACACACATAAAGTGTTGTAAACAAAAATATATTATAACGAGTAGAAAAAGAACACGTAAAAAGTAACTTAGCATTTTTAATCACTTGTTCGATCTGTCCCAAAAATGAAATGCCAGGCTCTATTTAGCTAATATTTGAGACTAAGTGGCTCTACCAGTGCTAGCTTAGCCTCTATATCAGCAAGCTCGTTCAGAAGGAAGTCTGGGGAAATTGTATATGCGTATGTCATTAAAATTAACCCCTTTTCTGCAGAGAACCCAATGGAAATGAGTCACTTTGATTTTTGGGGATTTCGCCGTCGCACTCAGAAAAAAACTTATAAGAGGGGTTTAAAATCCGCTTGAACCATGAAAATATTGGACCTTTGTCTCATCACATCAAATCTTTTTGTGTGGACAGTGGTCCAGGACAAACCAAAAACGGTCAAAACTTTCCTCTTATGGTTTTGTATTTTTAATTACTGTTTATACCTAGTTTTACTTTTGTTCATTCAGCACAACACATAGCAACATCACTTCTTATGGTGTAGTGCTATACCCTTATGACCAAATCTCGGGGTTTTCCCTGGAGGGGGAGTCCGGGGGTCAACGCCCAGCGGCCGGGTTTTGGGCCCAGGCCCTGGGGGGATCAGAGCCTGATCAACCGGTGTTGCTGCTGCTGCACGCAAACCAAGTCGAGCCACAGCCGGTGGTCGGGGAACGATTTAGGTGCTTGTCTAGTGCCAGCTTGAAGACTGCCGGGGGTCTGTTGGTAATCCCCCTTATGTATGTGGGGGCATTTTGAACAGTTCGGGCCCCCTGACATTATTGTATGGTTTTAAACGTGTAGTGACCCCTGCTTTACTTTGGGGGGGATTTGCATCGTTGCCAAGTCTTTTGTTTTCGTAGTGAGTGATTTTCGTGTGCAAGTTCGGTACTAGCCCTTTAGGTTTTTCCGGGGTGTATATAATCATGTATCTCTCCTGCCTGCTTTTCCGGGGAAATTTCAGGTTCAGGAACCTCAAGGCCCCCAAAAATTTGAGGTGTTTTTTCCCCCTTTATGCGTCCGGAAGGTTCTCTGATTTTTTCTAGGTCACCCAATTTCCCTCCCTTGAAAGGTGCTGTTAGTGTGCAGAAATTTTCCCGCTAGATAGAAAAAGTGACCTGAGAGGTCCGGGGCTTGGACTCCTTTTTTAAAGGTTTTCCATTATCCACCCTGTCATTTTTCTAGCAGATGCGATTGAAAAAATGTTAGGGTCCTTGAAGGGAGATCCTCCCAAGATCCCCCAGGTTTTGACGTTGGTGTTTCGTTTTTTGTGGCCAGAATTTGTTTTGTACTCGTGAAGATTTTTTTTCCCCGTGTTTACCCTATCTGAGTAATTGAAAATTTTTCATGTTGAACTTTATATTGTTTTCTGCAGCCCCCGAAAGATTGGTTGATGTCCGCCCGGGCTTGAGTTCTGCAATGGAAGGGCATCATGCAGTTCGGGTGTCATCTGCAAAGGAAAACACGGTGCTGTGTCTGGACATCCTTGTCTATGTGGATGTGAGGATGAGGAACCAAGATGGGAGCGAGTACTGTGGCCTTGTGGAACAGAACTTTTTCAACGTAGCTGCCTCGGGTCTTTACTCTGTTGACGGACTACTCTCTGTTTCTCTGTTAGTGAGGAAAAATTATGGATCCTTCGACCGACTTTTCCTGTTATTCCTTTAGGGACGCATTTTGTGCGCTATTACGCCATGGTCTCACTTGTCGAAGGATTAGATTTGCCACCGAAGTGGCTAGTTTATTGTGCACCCAATATCCATCCTGTGGAACGGTAGCGCGAGAGGCATGTGGATACAAGAAGGCCTAGGAACTAGGCCCCTAAAGGGTTATCAGGAATACTTATGGATTTATATCTACATATCTATAGTTCACTTATCTGTTACAAGCAAATTTAGGAAAATTGCTTAGTATATCTGGTATCTTATTTTCATTAATAAGATATCCTTGACATGTCTCATAGGTTAATATACTGTCTGTCTCTGGTAATCTCAATAAGTGGACAATTAGCAACATAGTGTTCAAGACAGTGACATATGCTGGATCACATTAATTTACATTTAGTTTGTTCATATCTGTGTGTCTCCCAATCTGCCAGAAAAAGTACTTGGTAACAAGCTAAGCCTGGCCTCTACAACATCAGCAGTTGTACACATTGCAAGTTTGCCTCCATAAAACATACTTATTCTACGTTCTTGTTATCATAGTGGTTATCGATCTACTCAGGCTTCTACCTGCTTTCCTATAACAATCATTCTTCATTATTTACTTTCTCTCGAATATTATCTCCTAATGCTAGACACAGTTATACCAAAGTTTTAATTTTCTACGTTCTCCTTCTGGATACTCTTCTTGGCTAACATATCAACATTTATCGAATGATGGAGTTAATCAATGTGTGATGGGAATCTATAGCAATTGTAATTAATTCCTTTGCCCACATAATTTTTGAGTATCTCTACTGGCTTCCCCAATGAGCATGTTTGTTGGACAGGGGTTTTTCATTATATGAGCAAGAGCCTTCAATGATGAACATAGAATCAGTAATGATCGATTGTAGTCAAGCTCAGTGTCATAGGTTAGCTTTATGCGCCATTAGGATTGCAAACAATTCAGTTGCCGTGTAGACGCCAGGATGTTAATTCTTTGCCTTCTAACTCAACAAATTTATTATCGTCTTAAACTAGGGAGGTTGGCAACAAGAGCAGATGCAGCCCTGCAGAAGACTCCTGTTTAGATCCTCAGTGTATATAACTTGTGCTAAATTATTACTACTGCCTCAGGCGAAATAATTTCTTCTTGAGCAGTTGCTTTCTAACAGAGATTTAAGGAAGGGATTATGCAATGAGCTTTTGGGAGGGACTTGTAGGTATGTGAATAATAAAATGAAACACATCTTCCATGGAGGGTGAAAGCTCTTGTTGCCTTCAGTGATCAGTTCATGAGGTTATTAAAACGTAATGAAATGCCGTTTTCACAATCCATTTAGATCTGTGTGTTTTACCTCTAGACAAACTTGGTATAAGATCACTGTGGACATTGTCTGGTTCGTTTATCAAAATTTCTATACCGTGTACAGTGTTAATTTCACTATCCTAATCACTGATGCTAGAATTATACCAAGTCCATCCTCATTGTAAGAACTTTGTAGATCTGGGAACAGCAAGAATAATCCTCGAGAGCTACATTTTGCATTAACTCCAAGGTCGGAGGGACTTTCTCTAGTAATATCAACATGGGAGCAGCATAATTCAATAGGACCTAAACATAGGCTATGTATTCATCATTCTCACGATTTCACATTAAGCACCATAGTTGGGATTGTAGCCAGCAACAGCTTTGAGAGCATTTAGCTAGCTTTGCATTTCTTGTTTAGTTGAGGTATAACAGTGGATTGTTTAAGGGTACATATACACCAAGTTATCTGTAAGTTTTAACGTAGCTAATGATTTCACCCTGCTCAAATAGATGGGTGGGGGATGTCGTTTTGCTGTTAATATCTTAGTTTTAGAGGAAGATATTATAAGGCCTAGTCATTACAATTGCTTTGAACTTCATTTAAGAAGGCTTTAGCAAAGTCTTATATATTACATCTGCATTCTTTTTATCTTCTAGTGCATTTAGGACCCTTGTCGAAGTGATCCATTTAGTTGAGACAGACAGGAGCGATGTTCTAAACCATGTTGCATGGGTTGTGTAACTGATGGGTTTTTAGATGTGGGTGGTGATCTTACTTCTTAGGACCCTTTCAAAGATTTTTATGATATGGGATGTTATGCTATCGGTCTGTAGTGCTTTGCTGTTGGCTTTACTGCCCCTTTGTGGAGTGGGGCTGTCTGTTGTTTTAGTAACTGTTGGGGACGACCCCCATGTCATGCTCCCTCTCCATATGATGGAAAAGGCTCGTGATAGGCGGCTTCTTGCGTTCTTGTTGAACACGAAGTTCCATGAGTCTGGCCCTGGGCAGAGTGCATGGGCATGTCATTTATCGCCTTGTTCGAAAGTCTATTTGGCGTCAGGATAACATCGGATAGGCTTGTGTTGACCAAATTTTGTGGTCTCTCATTAAAAATTCGTTTTGAGCTTTGACTCGCAGTCTGGTTAGCGGCTTGCTAACTTACTGAGTAACTGAGTTACTCCTGAGATCATTGTGCTAAACCACCTGTACTGAGCATTTTGTTCACTGTATCATCAATTCGAGGTAGGGTGTAACCCATCAAAGAAGTCTCTGTAAATTTGTTGATTGTCTCAGAGTTAACCGATAGCCAGTCTCCGCTTTCCTATAATCATCTTTAACAACAACAACCTGTGCACGCCAAGGGATTACTTGGTTTATAAACCTCCTTCAGCAGGCCTCTTGAGTTTCTTTCTAAATGACATCCGATCCTCATAAGAATAGAAGCGTGGACTTAGCTGATATAGGATGGCAATCGAGGTAGATTTGCAAACAGCTTTTGGTGGGTCTACCCTTAAAGTTGCTAAGTCACAGACATACAAGAGGAGACAGTTCACCTCCCAATGTTAAGGTGGACGCTACCATGCAGCTTCTGATAGTTGACCAAGGCTAACATCAGAACACAGTTGTGGCAGAATAGCACTAAATGTGCATTTTGATATCCTTTCCATTAACTATGAGATTTTACCTTACAAAACACTAAGGTCTGAATAGAGAGAGAATGTTGATGCCATAGAAACGGTACCTGATGAGTGATGTAGACAAGGAGTGGCGTTTAACTAAGTCAAGGTTGATGTGAACACTCTCTGAGCTGTTTACTATCAATAATGACCATCTACTTTGTCCTATTGATGAATACTTTCACAACTGCCTTTGACAGTGAATTGGGTAAGCGCAGAAGTCA